GTGAGTGTCACGCCGCCCTTCGTTGTGCCGCGGCTCCTGCGGGCGCTGGAGGCGAGCGGAGGCAGGAGCAAGAGGGAACGGGAGGGCGAGGGAGGCGACGATAGGGTAGCCGCAACTTCGCTCTGCGACGAGAGGGGGAGGGGGTGCCTTGGCAATCGCCCGTGCAAGCTGCGGCGTCGAAATAGATAAGTAGATAGTTATCCGAGCGCCGATAAAGCATCCGCCCGCGCATATGCAGATATCAAGGAATATAAAAATCGCTCTACCCAATTTTTAAAAAAGAATTCTCCGATATCCACGCAGCGCTAAAACGACAAGTCCTATTTCCCTGCCATTCCCTCCGAGAAATACAAACAACAGAAACGCAACAACAAAAACAACAACAACAACACCAGCGACTGTCTATCGTAGTGACCCTTGCGTTCGTGTTCAACGATCGTTAAAGCGACGCACGTGCTCAGCGAATCACGGAATGGAACGAGTGCACGATAACCCGAAAACATTCAATAAATAAAAGGAGATAACAAAAAAAGCATGATTATAGATCACAACAAATTGAAATTATAATAACTCTTCCCCCGAAAGTTTTTGAATAAGAATTTTGGAGAAATGATCCATCCGTATTGCTGCCATTAGACTTGGTGCTTGTGTACACGTGTTAATATCTTCTGCCTGTGTATATTTCCCCGGCCGCTGTAATGCAACTGCGCCTGTATTTAACTAGAGGTCAAAGGAAAAGTCAAACGTACAGATGTTTGTTGATGGGCTAGGCTGGAACAGCTGTTGCTGACATGTGTAATTCAATGTATAATTTTAACCCCGTGTCTGTAAAAAATAGATAAATAAAATAAAATAATAAAGTAGGTCTGTAATATATTCATAGAGAGAAAGTAATGTCACAAGGGGAAATGTAAAGGCAAAGCTATCACCTAGTTATAATAAGAATAATGATAATAATAATAATAATAATAATAATAATAATAATAATAGTAATTCAGTAATTTATGTATCCTTCGGGAGAAAAAAAATAAAATGAATTCGTATCTTCTCGGCATGCTCGTTCGTTGAAAAGCCGTCAACTATACCGAAAGTTCGCTCTTAAAATCCGAAAGTGTGATCCGAGGACTTTTAAAAGCGTCGTTTTGATTAATTTCATCGCATTTAAGAAGTGATGATCAACTGAAATCTAATCTCGGGGACCGGCGGAAATAATTAAACAGATAGAGATGGATAATAACGATGGTGATGATGAGGAGAGATAATAAACGGGGCGAAGTGGATTATTAATTGCGACTGATATATGAGCGTAGAATATTTGCATACGTATTTTGTTCCGTCCTGAATGCCTGCTGGCTTTCCCTCGATTCATGCTCATAATCTATTTACCAACTTATTTACTCTTTGCAATGGTACTGACGGTAAAGCGGCGACTCTCTGTTGCATTTCAACACCTAACAAAAATATCCACGCGGGTATTTCGACTGAGACCACGTGTCATTTGCGAGAAAAAAAAAGAGAAAATAAATATTAAAATTATCTGAAACATGGCGGACGAACACACACACACCTTCGCAGATGAGGGAGTGGGGGGTGGGGGTGAGGGGGTAACGGGGAAGGGGAAAAAGGTAAGTGGGGGGGGGAGGCAAGGGGGAGGAAAGAGGGGAGAGGGGGAGAATAGAAGAGGTGTGTGTAGGGGGGGGGGGTGATATTTCCCATTTGCGCATATCGGTTTATCTTAGTCCGCGAGAGCAACGAAGAGGGGAAGCGAAGTAGCTGCCGATAAAGAGGAACTGAAAGAAATCACGTTGATAATGATAGCAGCAATGATGATGATCATGAGAATGGAAACATAATGATAAGTGAAACGTAGAAGATAATGGTGCTGATAATGATAATAATGAGAGCAATGATGATAATGGTAATATTTATGATAATGACAACGGTGATAGTAATATGATAGTAATAATGTTATTGAAAATTAATCTTAATAATGATGATAATAATAACAGTAATATTAATAATAATATTAACATCAATAATAATGATAATGATAGTGGTAATAGTAATAATGATAATAGCAGTAATAATAACAACAATAATACTAATGATAATGTAAAAAAAATATGATAGTAACAGTACTAGTAATAACGATGGTTATAATGCTAATGATAACGCGAATAATGATAATAATAGTAATAATAATAATGATAATAATAATAATAATAATGATAATAATAATAATAATAATAACGATAGTAATGATAATAATAATAATAAGGACAATAATTACAATAATGATAGTAATACCGATGATAATGCTAGTAATAATAATGATGATGATAATAATAATAATGAGAATTATGATAATAACGATAGTAAAAATAATAATAATAATAATAATGATAATGATAATAATGATAATAATAATAATAATGATAATAATAATAATAATAATAATAATAATAATAATAATAATAATAAAGACAATATTACTAATAATTATAATAATAATAATAGTAATAATAATAATAACAGTAATAATAATAATAGTAATAATAATAATAATAATAATATTAATAATAGTAATAATTGTACCACTAATAATAATGATAGCGATGATAATGACAATAGCAATGATAATAATGATAATAATAATAGTAATAGTAATGATAATGATAATGATACTAATACTAATACTACTACTAATAATAATCAAATTATAATAATGAAAATAATAATAATAATAATAATTGTTATTATTATTATTATCATTATTATTATTTTCAAGATAATTATTATTATTATTATTATTTATATTATCATTGTTTATATTATTATTATTGTTACAATTAGCATTATTATCATCATTATTATTATTAAACATTACCTATAAAACTAGTAGTAATATTATAATCATCGTTAAGAAATGAAGAATTGTAATAAAAGCAGTAATAATAATAGCAATGACTATAATGAAGACAGTAAAGAACCACAGCGATTTTAAGGGCGAAAACAGCATAAAACAAAACACCCATAGAAATAGCGCTGATGATGATGATAAGAAAGGAAAATGCAGATAACAAGAAGGATGATAATGATAATAAGAACAATTTTACAGAAACAACAACAAGAACAACAATAATATTGATGGTGATGATAATAATGATAATAATATTGATAATAATGCTAATGATAAATGAGAGTGGTAATAACAAGTATAATGACATAATAATGGTTATTAATAATGCTATAGGTACACTGATATCGATGATTAAATTAGTTCTATCAATGATGATGATGATAGTAATAATTACGATAGTGATAATAATAATAATGACGATGATAGTAACAACAACAACAACAATGATATTAATAAAAAAATATAATAATAAAAGTGATAATAAATATTATAATAATAAAGATAATATTGGTAATAGTATCAATAATATTAAAAGTTATTATAATAACAATAATGATAAAGATGATAATGATAATAATAATAATGATAATGAAAATAGTAATAATAATGAAAATAAGGATAAAATAATAATGATAATAATAGTAAAAATATTATCATTATTATAGTGATGATAAAAGAAAATGATAACAATACTTGCAATAATAAGACCAACTATAACAGTAATAAAAATAAAAATAATAGAATAATAACACTAATAATAAAAACAAAATCAAAATAACAAAAACAGTAACATCAAAATAATAATAAAAATAATAATAACGATATTAAAACAATAGTAACAACACTTCTACTATTAACAACGTACGCACAAACCCCCCTCCCCCTCTCCCCCTCCCCCTCCCTCGCTCCGCATCGGACGTGCTTGCTGAGCATACAAAACACACGTTATTATTAAGGCAACGCGTCCTCTGTAATGGGTAAGGAAAGTGACCCTGACGCGCGGTGTTCTGAAAACGCTTGGCTACACTTCGTTGGGGCGTCGGTATTGGGGAAGGGGTGGGGAAGGGGGGAAGTGGGGAAGGGTGGAAGAGGAAGGGGGAAGGGGGAAAGAGGGGAAGGGGGAAGGGATAGGGGAGGGGATGGATAGAAGGGAGGGGAAGGGGGGGGGAGGGGGAGGATAAAAGGGGAAGATAGATGAAAGGGGGTGGGGAAGGATGAGAGAGGCGGTGGGGAAGGGAGGAAGAGGGGGAGAGAAGGAGGAAGAGGAAGAGGTGAGGATTGAGAAGGATAGAGGAAAGGGAAAGGAGAATACAGAAGCGGGAAAGAGAGGAAGGAAGAGGAGGAGAAAGAAGAAGACGAACCAAAGGAGGGAGAATGAAGGAGAGGAACAAAAGAAAGAAATAATAAATAAGCGTTGATCAAGGAATGCAAAAAAGAAAAAAAAGCAAGCGAAAGAACAATACGAAAAGAGAGTGCGAAGGAGAGAGAAAGAAAGACCTTAAATTAGCAAGAAAAGGGTGCGAAGGAGAGAAAAGAAAGGAAAAGAAGAACAGGGGAAAAAGGGAAGAACAGATTGTGGTAGCGACGAAACAGCTATTTTGTTTCCGTAATTAGCTAACGCGGCGGCGAAGGAGACAGAGGCGGTCGGCGGGCGGAGGGGCGAGCTGCCAGCATCTCGGCTCTTGCGACCTGCAGTGGCCTCTCCGGCATCGGCGCTGTGGGGCGTCGGTGGGCGGATTCTGTGGGTTTTCGGTGTTTTTGTGTGGGTGTGGATGTTTTAGAGGGGGGATAAATCGTGTTGTATTTGTTTTGAAGAGAGATAGTGATAATGATAATAATAGTAGTAATACTTACATTATTATTATTATTATTATTATTATTATTATTATTATTATCAATGATAATAGTAATAATAAAAATGATAATATTGATAATGATAATAATAATTGTAATAATAATAATAATGATAGCAATAATAATAATAATAATAATAATAATAATAATAATAATGATACTATAACAACACCAACAATAATAATAATGACAATAATGATAATTATAATAGTAAAGATAATTCCTA